GTGTTAAAAGAAGTGAAACCAGCAAACGTAAATAATCAAGTTAAAAATTAGAACTTCCATTCAATGAGGACCACTTAATAGTTTCTCAAATCATCTATTATTCTAGCAAGGCAACAACAACAACAATAACAAAAGTTCAAATGTGTGGCTTTGAAGTGAAAACTAAACAAGCTCTTGATAGGGCAGAAGTAGTGCACATACAGTCCATGTGAATGATAAATAATGATAGTAAARCCCAACCATAGCTTAGATAAACCTACCAAAAATTGGTGAGTATCCTTGCACTTTTTTCTTTTCTTCTTTCTCCCCAATGAACTTCCTGGAAACGGTCAGGATGAGTATGCCAGATCATCTTTCATCTATGGATGAAACTCCACAAAAGAACCACAGCTTAATCAAAATAAGCCAGAGCTGAAAATTCATGATTCATGAATCATAACATGAAGCAGCAGTTGTTGAGGGCAGTGAAGACACTTAATGATGCTTCTAGCAGCAACTTCCATTCCAGAATCATGAATCTTGACCTGCAAATTATACCGCAATTTTGAAAATAGAGATTAGTCAGACATGGAAACATGTTGGAACCAAGCAGAACATGACTGTCAAAATCCTTKGAGAATGCAGGCTCCTATAAGAGATTTTTCTAACAAATAATGGAAAGAAATCAGTGTTTGTATCATCTAGGCATGCTTGACATCCTTTATTTTTCAAGATGACAGATTTAAATTCATCTGGCAGAAGCCTCAACTTTCAGCACAAATAGAGGCAAGTGTTGATTGAATGGCAAGCATAATACCATATGCACATAGGGCAAAAAGYTCATGTGTGACAACCATATGAAAAGCAGAATTTTGAGGTTATGGAAAATTCACAGAAATAAAGACCAATACTGTATACTCTAAATGAAGTCTATATACAGGAAAATGATAAAAATGACAATGAAAGCAGGAAAACTGAACACATTCCAACACAAGAAAATTTTTATGCAAGAAATAAAGCTACAAGAAAGGCAATGGTTCATGCCCCAACTAGAGCACAAGGAGATGACTCCAGAATTTGGACCCCATCCTCCAATGGTTCCTTCTCCTGTGCATCGTTTTTTGAGACCTTGGTCCATCCCCCTGCTCCCTCTAGCCTTTTGGTGAGTTTCTGCTCACCTCGGAAACCTCTTCAAGGGAGRCTTGACCTCCTGAAACAGAAGATGGAGAGAAAAGAGAGAAGGGAGGGAAGGAAGAAACTGGAATCAGGGAGAGGAAAATTAAGGGAGAATCATTCATTGCTTTCATTATGTGATGATGGCCTTATATAGCTGGCCTACAGGTGTAATATCATAGGGAATATTCTCTGATTTCTGAATAACTAACTCTGGCAGATAACATGGGTGGA